GGTTTAGAGAAGGAGAAAGCTATGCTCCAACCCCAAAGCCAGCTTTAATTTTTAATTGAAATGGGACCACACAAAGACCATTTGTGCCGGGCAGTGGTGGTGCACATCTTTAATTCCAGCACTTGGGAGGCAGAGACAGGCGGATCTCTGAGTTCGAGGCCAGCCTGGTCTACAGAATGAGTTCCAGGACACAGCCAGAGCTATACAGAGAAAAACCAAACCAAACTAAACCCAAACCAAAACAACCAAAACCAAAACCAAAACCAAAACCAAAACCCAAACCCAAACCAAAACAACCAAAACCAAAACCAAAACCAAAACCAAAACCAAAACCAAAACAAAACAAAAAAAACCATTTGCCACTTGTGTCTGCAGAGGGCAGCAGAGACAAGCATTTGGGAATCTGCCACGCGCGGACTAGCCACTTGGTAGGGAGAATGAAGGGAGAGCGGGCGTGCCCTGGTTGACCCGGCCCCCTCCCCTCCCCGCTGAATTGTGTGGTTGTCTGGTGGGAAGGGCCTGCGGTTGTGGCAGGCGCTAGTCCGGGCTTCTGAGCCGGAATTTCAGGCCGGTCAGCTGGAAGTGGGCAATATCACTTGGCATATTTACTTTTTTTTCCTCAGGACGTTTTCTCCTGATAATCCATCGTTTTTCTTCAGATGTCTCCCTTGTCCAGTAGCCTCGGCTTCCTTAGTTGGATGCTTTTATTCTCCTGGAAAGATAAAACCAAAAGCTGCCCCAACACTAACTGGGGTAGGGTGAGGTTGGGGTGGGGTGGGGTGGCCTTTTCTGGCAGGTTATATTTTTTCCTAGGGCAAAATGGTGGGGTTTTTGTTGTTTTCAACAGAAAAAGTATTATTTTCCTATTGAAATTTTAAAAATTCTTTTGAAAATTGGAAACTAAATGTACCTTAGTATGTATGGATAAATATACCTAAATTTCCTTATCTCTTTATGTATGAATTCAAGATTTAAGTGTATTTACTCTTAGATCACAAAGGACATTCACTTTGAATTTCAGCCTGCCTTTTGCAAGCAGCTTTTAAATTTAAATTACTGTAATTCTTATGTGCCTGCCTTTGCCTACATAGTTTTGGGAATAAAGGTGTGAACCTGTGCCTGGCCATGGGTTCCTCATAATACTTATTCTCATAGGGTTGCCCGGGTTTAACTTGGTTCTCCATTTCCCCTTATTTTTTAGTGTTTGAGGTAAACTTTCAAGTTGTTTGAATGTGCAACCTATTGTTCTTACTAATACATTCTGAATTTGTTCCCTAGCAAATTTTAATATTTTAGTCTTAATTAAACATGATGCCAATTTGTCCACTATGTCATTATTTTCCGACGCTTTGTCTCTTGCTCATATGGGTTACATAAGATCTGAAGTAGTTTTGCCAAGCTTTGCTTTGTTCATTCATGCCTCCCATGACCAGATATCTTTGCCATTTACCTGCCAGTTGGTGGCTATTTTGATGACCATATAACTAACCCATTGCACACATACCATTAATTGATGATAGAGATTTCCTTTTGCTTTCCTAGTTGTTTGTCTCATAGCGAACAGCGCAGCACTGATTTTGTGGTTCCTTTCTCAGAATTGGCCATCTCTCCCATGTCTATAGGTTGCTGTTTCCATTGGTGTGAGTTCCTTCAGGGGTTGATGAAGCATCAGTAAAGCACGTGTTAGGCAAATGCTGTGATCTTTCCACTGGACTCCACAGGTCATAGGTGTCTCTCTGTAGCCCCTTGTTGGTCTGCATTCATTAGTCTGTATATTCTGCAAACTGCATAAGGCTTGGAACCTTTTTTGATTATCTCTAAAAAAAAACATTGTTTCTAGAAATGCCATGCCTATGACCCCTTTTCAAATGACCTTGCTTACCACAATTAAAACAATAGCCAAAGATTCTATGGCCATAGAACAAGGACATCAGGCTAGACATATTAATATTTCTCAAGATCGGTTGCTAAGTGAAAGTCAGTATCCTGAGTTTAAAAGGCAGCTTGAAGTCGATGACCACACCTTGATTCTAGGTCGTTTAGGAGCTTTAAATGCTTGGGGCAATATTGAAAAATCAGAAAAGAGGTCTGAGTCCTTAACTAAAATTATACAAGGCCCAAAAGAAGCCATCAATGATTTTTGTTTTGCAAAGATTGACTTCAGCTATAAATAGAATATTGTCAGATTCAGAAGTCAAACAAATATTAATTGAATCTTTGGCTATTGAAAATGCTAATTCAGAATGCAGAAGGGTGATTAGACCTTTAAAGTCAAGATCACCACCAATAGAGGAATGGATTAGAGATACAGCTGATATTGGATCTCAAGTGCATGGTACTAATTTGATAGAAGTAATTTCTAAAGGTATTAAGAAAATCAAAATGGCAGATGTTTTAATTGTGGTAAGCAATTTTAGTTACTATCAGTTTAGTAACTCATATTTAATCCTTAATAGCTGTAGTGAGTTTTGTGCCAAACATGGAAAAGAGTTTGATAATTGTGCAAAATATGAAAATATTGATAAGATACAAGCCTTAGAAAGACTTACAGATTAAAATAAGTAAAAACACTTAGAACAATTTAGACAAGAACCTACTCTGCCACCTCATGATGAAACTGAAGAGGTGTAACTCAAGGTTGTTAGAAAACCAACCTTAATTTATCCAGTTACTATACAAGACCTATCAGCAGATGATAGGCACCTCCAAGGTTATGAAGCATTTCGATGGAGTCCTATAGACATATTAGACTTGAGATTCTGCTTTTAATATGGTTTGCATTCACCCTATGTAAAGAAGGTATTAAATTCATGGGCAATTCAGAACAAAATTATCCTCAAGGACTGGGAAGATTTGGCAACAGCAATATTGGAAGCTGGTCCACAGCTACAACAGCAAACATGGTGGAAAGAGGCCGCTGGCAAGAGCAGTGCTCACACATAATTCTAGTGCTTAGAAGGTGGAGGCAGGAGGATCAGAAGTGTAGGATAGCTTGGTTTCAGAAGGTCTGCTTACAAAGCAGCAACAGACTCCTGAATTGCTGAAAAACTGGGCATGGTGGGACTTGTCTAGAATCCTAGCACTTGGAAAGATGTGGCAGGAGGGTCACAAGTTTAAAGCCAATTTAAGACAGGCAACTGACACATGAAGTTGTGTTGTCCTTGTTCAGCTGTTGGTGAGAATTTACAGGTGTAGTTTCTGACATTCCCAGGAGACACAATATCAAAGCAAATTCCCTAATCCTCCAGGTCTTAACAGCCTTTCTACTCTATCTTTGGCAATGTTCTCTGAGTCATACATGTGGGAATGTTTTGTAGATCTATCCAGTCTGGGCTTCACAACTCTATATTTTGATTGATTGTGGTGTTCTGTTATGGTCTCTATTTCAAAGAGTTTCCTTGATGTGGGGTGAGGACTACACTCTGGTTAAAAGCATACGTGTTTAATTGGTGTTAGGAATTATGCTGTTTTAGTAAAGTGGCATGTAGAGGAATTTTAATTCAGCACATGGCTGCTCTGGCAAGAGATCATATCCAAAGACCTTCTAGGTCTGTGTGATCCAGCTAGAATACAGACACACCTTTAATCCCAGGAGACAGATGAAAGTAGATCTCTGAGTTCAAGGCCATCCTTGCATAGATCAAGTTTGATGTAAAAAAACCCTTAGGTCCATTAAAGAAAAGCTTTAAAAAAATTTTTTTTTTAAAGACTTGTTTTATATATGTGAGTACATTGTCACACCAGAAGAGGGCATCAGATCCCACTAGAGGTCATTAGAGAAGGTTGTGTGCCACCACGTGGTTACTGGGAATTGAACTCAGGACCTCTGGAAGAGCAGTCAGTGCTCTTAACTGCTTAGCTATCTCTCCAGCCCTTTAAAGAAAAGCTTTAATCCCAGTACTCAGGAGATAGAAGCATTCTTATCTCAGAATTCTAGTTCAGTACCATTCAGTCAGTCCATGGAATTTAGAGGCAGTTTTACCAGGAGAGTTTTACAGAGACAGGTTGAAGAAAGAATAAGCTAGACACAGGCAAAGACAAACAAATAGAGAATGAGAAGAAGCCAGAAGATTAGAATAGATTGTGGGAATTAGTTTAAAGTAATCAGAGCAATTCACTAAGAAGTAGAAAGAAACCAGTTTGAATCAGATAGCTTGGAAAGAAGTTTTAAGCCAGACAGCCACGTTGAACCAGCCAGCCAGAGTTCAGAAAGAACTAGAAAGGGAGTACTTATTCAGCAGTAAGTCTCAGAGGCTGAAAACATGGAGGCTAAAAGTTTTCAGGACCAGGCCTAGGTTAGCAGATGGAGGCAGTAAACCTCAGAGATGACAATAATTATATCAGGTAAATAGAAGATACTTATTTTTACAGTGGCTGTTGTAGGTTCGTGGCCTTTCACATAGTATCAGCAGGACTTGGGGGAGGGGGTAAAGGAAGGAAAGAAAGGGCACAGAGTCAAAGCTGCCTTGCCATGCTGATTTCAGTCAAAGACATGACTTAACTATTCAGGTCTGGTGTTCTTCAGGCAATTCTGTTTCCTTGGAACTTATTTACTTTCTGTGGTATTGGCAACTGAACTTTGGACTTAACTCCACTTCGAACTGGCTTGCCCTGCAATTCTTTCCCATGTCAAAAAACACCAAAGACTGTTTGGAATGCTAGCCCTAAAAGATTAAGGGAACACCTCATTTACACTAATGTGGATGACACCACAGAGCAGTGTCTTCATCCCACCACAAATGTATATTTATTTATTATATGCCAACCTCCCCCCCTCCATTATTTAGCGTTTAAGTGAATTTTATTCTATGAATTATGTCGGAATGTAAGCATTTCTGTAAGCTAGCATTCTGGGTTGGTTTGTATTCTGTTGGAAGAATACTTGCATAAACGTTAAGGACCTGTTTTCCAGATTCATGTAAAACCCCTTAGCATTCAAAGCTTTTCAGTATATTGAAGAGGCAGCCAAGCGTAAACACACAGCCCTCAGAGAAGGGGAGTTCATAACTTTTGATTTTTTTAATCTCCACAATGACAGCTCTTAACTTCTTTATTTAGCGCCTCTCTTTCTTTATTTATGGGTGCGCGTGTGGCGATCAGAGAACAACTTTCCTTTGTGCTCCAGGGATCGAACTTAGATGTCGTGTTTGTTCTCTATTGCCTTTGTCTGCAGAGACATCTTTCAATCTCTAGCTTCGGCTTTTTAAAAGCCCCACCATGCTTAGCAGTTTTTCTTCAACTTTACTGTTTCTTAACAAGTTGTCCAAGTGCCTATGATTTTGCCAAGATCAACGCTATGCTCGTGGCCACCAGAACAGAGGCCTTGGAGCAGAGAGGAGCTTCACATCCCTGAGAAAAAAAGAAAAGAGAAAGAAAGAAAGGGAAGTTGTGGAAATGACCTTTGGAAAGAATCACTTCCTTTTTCATAAACTGAATCGAGAAGTGCGCTGAAGTCGCAGGAATTCTCTTCTGCTACAGCCTGGGGTTCCACGTGAGCAAACAGAACTCGGAGAAAGTCGGACTCATTTTCTGACTTAGAGATGTCTTCCAGGCGACTAGCTTGCCCACAGTAAAAATGGACTTCTCCTAGCCCGAAACTCGCTTTTAAATTAGCGCAGCAACCATTTTTATTAAGGGCAAGGGAGCAAGACAGAGTCCCCCGACACTCCTGTCACACAAACTCCAGACGCTTTAAATTACCGAGGGTCCAATCGGAATCAAGATTCCTCACCGGAACCGCCCTACCTCACGGCCGGAAGGGGCTGTGCGTCAGCGCGTTGGGGCGGAAGTGGCGGGAGGGCGGTGGTGGGTAGTTGGCGGGTGGTTGACTAGAGCCGGCCGCCATGTCCGCAGGGAGCGCGACACATCCTGCCGCTGGCGGGTAAGACCTTCGCGGGCCAGGCGGGGGTAGCGAGCACGGGCCGGGCAGGGAGGCTGGCGAGGCTGCGTGTGGGGTGGACAGGCCCTCAAGTAGGACGCGTCCGTACGCTGAGGCCGGAGTTCTGGAGAGAATGTTGAGCAGGCCTCGGGCGCCCGAAAAAGGCCGGCCGCGGTGCGAGGGAGAAGGGAACTCGGAGTGTTTTAGAAGGGCGAGCCAAGGAGAAGGCGAACGCAAAGCGTTCCCTGCCGAGCTGAGTCTTTGGGTGGAAGTGACTGGAGAAGAAATGTTTTGTAAGGGGATCGAAAGATGTGGGAATGTGGGCAATGTAACAGAGTTTTAGATAGGAAATTCGGTCGTGTATATGGATCATGACAGGCGAAATGGAATAACGTCTACTAAGGGATCAACACAAAGGAAGGCTTTGGGCCCCAGTATTTTCCTTTTCCTACCTGTAGGCGCCGCAGCAAATGGGATCAGCCGGCTCCAGCTCCGCTTCTCTTCCTGCCGCCAGCGGCCCCAGGTGGGGAAGTCACTAGCAGCGGGGGAAGCCCCGGGGGCGCCACCACGGCTGCTCCTTCAGGAGCCTTGGATGCCGCCGCTGCCGTGGCCGCCAAGATCAATGCTATGCTCATGGCCAAAGGGAAGCTGAAACCATCTCAGAATGCGGCCGAGAAGGTATTCCGAGCGCTAGACGGTCTGCTCTTTTGTAGGGTTCCCCCCCTCTTCACCTTGTAGTTAGTTGCGTAATCATTGGGGTTGATGAAGGTTGATGAAGAGTGAAGATCACGTTTCGTAGTATTTAGATGATACCTTGTTAAATCGTTCTTGTGAGGCAATGGGCTTTGGTTTCTGTTTGAGACAGGAACTCTATATACGTAGACTAGGCTGGCTTGCTTGCAGAGATGCTTCTGTCTCCCAAGTGCTGTGCTCCATCATCACATCCTGAGGTCCAGGCAGTTTTAATTGGTGAAGTTACCTTGTTTTGTTTTTCGAGACAAGTTTGTGTAGTCTAGGCTGTCCTGGAACCATGGTCTAGCCTCGAAGTAATGGAGAGAGACCCGAACTCATGGAGAGAGAGTCTGCCATCTATGACCCTGCCAAGTGCTAGGATTAAAGGCATGAGCCACCACCAGCCGGCGCCGGCTGGTCTTGTTACTTTTATGAGCCAGTTTTTGTGCTTACAAACTTAACTCAATTTTCTTATGGTTATTTAAAGCAATATGTTTCTGATACATGAGGTTCTGGTGTCTCAAGTGTCATAGGATTTGGAGCTTGGCTATGTGAGGGATCTAGGGATTGAGCTAAAGTCATCAGGCTTGTCTGTAAGCATCTTTATGCTCTGAGCATCTTGCTAACCTTCAGTGAGTGTGTTGGTATGGCACACATGCCAGTGTTTGTCAGCAGGAAATACTATTGCCATGGTGAATGTAGGAGGTCAGAGGTTAGCCTTGGTATCAGTCTTTACCTTCCACCCGTCTGAGTCCTGGTCTCTGTTTTCTGCTATGTTTATATGTCTTTGCCTCTCATCTTGCTGTTAGGGACATTGATATGACATATGTAAAATACCAGGTTTGGCTAATCCACCTGTTTTGGGAATTAAAAGTCACATCCTCACATTTGTGTGGCCATCACTCAGGAGCTAAAATATATATATATTTTTAAATGTTTTGAAGCTGGGCAGTGGTGGGACATGCCTTTAATCCCAGCACTCAGGAGGCAGAGGCAAGGGAGAGAATCTCTCCCTGTCTCCAAAAAGGAGGAAAAAAAAAAAACCCAAGCAGCAAAAAAAGTTCTTTCTCATTATCTAAAATATATATTTTAATGATTAAATACAATTAAATGTGAGCTAAGAATGGAGAAATAAGTTATATTTTGTTTGATCTCAGGCAAGTTGAGAGTATTATTTGGTTATTTTAGTCTGTTCACAGTGTAATTAACAAACTGAAGCTTTGCTTCGCCATAAAGTGTAACATAGTGTTTGTAAAGAAGAGTTGAGGCTCTAGAGAGACTGCTCAGGGGTTAAGAGCACCGACTGCTCTTCCAGAGGTCCTGAGTTCAATTCCCTGCAACCACATGGTGGCTCTCAACCATCTATAATGAATCTGATGCCCTCTTCTGGTGTGTCTGAAGAGAGCAAAGGTGTATTCACATAAAGTAAATAAACTTTAAAAAAAAAAAAAAAAAGAAAAAAAGTAGCTGGGCAGTGGTGGTGCACACCTTTAATCCCAGCACTTGGGAGGCAGAGGCAGGCGGATTTCTGAGTTCGAGGCCAGCCTGGTCTACAGAGTGAGTTCCAGGACAGCCAGGGCTACACAGAGAAACCCTGTCTCAAACCAAAAAAAAAAAAGAAAGAAAGAAAGTTGCATAAATTCAGCTTCCTACTGCTTGATTGCAGTGTATGGGTTGTTGTGTATCTTCTTTTTACAATTTTACTCCATAAGTAGTCAATAAATTGATCTGTGAAGCATTATAACTCTGACCTTTAATTTATTTTCTTGTCTATAGTTTCTATAACACCATAAAACTGTATGAGGTGGCTCCAGCGAGATTGGTAGAATGCTTGCTTATCACGTATGAGGCCGTGAGTTCTGTCCCTAGAGCACATAAAGTGGGCACAGCGAGTGGCCCATCGATAGCTACATAGCAAGTTTCTGACCAGTCCGGCTTTCAGAAGAATCTGGGATATATAATAAGACCTTGTCTAAAAACCAAAAAACCAAACCAAACAAAAATAAACCCCAAAGATTTGATTTTTTTGTTTTGTTTGGTTTTTGGTTTTTATTTGTTTGTTTTGAGACAGAGTTATCTATGAAATGCTATATGTCCTGGAACTCTACCAGGCTGACCTTGAACTTACAGAGATCCTCATTTTCCTGCCTCATACTTTGCTCACAGTGTGCCTCTCATGCTTCTGTCTCCCTGGTGCTAGGATTAAAACTAATGGGAACTTGTAAAATTAAGTCTCTATTATGTAACTTCATCAGTATCTTATGGGTGTTTTTGTCTACATGTATGTGTGTGCACCATATGTCTAGTGTCTGAGTCCCTGAAACTGAAGGTCACAGATGATTGTGAGTTATCATGCAGGTACTGGGAACTAAACCTAGGTCTTCTAGAAGAGCAGTGAGGGGGTCCCTCCTCCCTCTGTGTTTTCTGTTTATCCCTAGCTGTTTGTGAACTCTTTGTAGACTAGGCTGGCCATCCATCATTATACCTGGCTGAAGTCAGTGCTCTTAACTGTCAAGCCCTGTCTCTAGCCACTACTTGACTTTTTTTTTTTTTTTTTTTTGGTTTTTCGAGACAGGGTTTCTTTGAGTAGTCCTAGCTGTCCTGGAACTCACTCTGTAGACCAGGCTAGCCTCAAACTCAGAAATCCGCCTGCCTCTGCCTCCCAAGTGCTGGGATTAAAGGCGTGCGCCACCACCACCTGGCGACATGTTTTTTTAAAAATATTTTTTTATGGGGCTGGTGAGAGGGCTCAGCGGTTAAGAACACTGACTGCTCTTCCAGAGGTCCTGAGTTCAATTCCCAGCAACCACATGGTGGCTCACAACCATCTGTAATGGGATCTGATGCCATCTTCTGGTGTGTCTGAAGACAGCTACAGTGTACTCATATAAATGAAATAAATAAATCTTAAAATTATATATATATAAATTTTGTTTGTTTGTCTGTTTTTTTAACTGAATGGCCCATAGATCATGTATGACAAGTGCCTTTACTGAATGAGCTTGCCAGTCCTATAAGTGAAGTTTTATTTCTTTTTTATACCATTGTGCTGATAGATGGGGGTGGGGAGGGGGAGAGACGGAAAATATGTGAGACTTGAGATAGTTGTAAATGAGACAACTAAGATCATTTTTAAAGCTTTTAATTTTATTTATTTATTTATTTATTTTCTATTTTGTAGCTTCAGGCCCCTGGCAAAAGCCTTACTAGCAATAAAAGCAAAGATGACCTGGTGGTGGCTGAAGTAGAAATCAATGACGTGCCTCTGACATGTAGGAACTTGCTGACACGAGGACAGACGCAAGATGAGGTATGTGAGAGTGGGCCCTGTGGGGAGGGTGGGAAGGGCTTCTGAACACGTGGGTTTGAGTTTAACTGACAATAACGAAACAGATGTGAGTGCTTTCTCTCTTTGGGTGTGATACAATCAAAATTTCAGATAGAGGACAGTTTATACTTGGTGATTTGAATGGGAGACGTAGTCTTCTCTTTGATTGAAGTACATTATAACACATTTTTAATTTTTAAGTTTCATAGTTATATGTACTTGTGCCTTAGTGCTTGTGTACCTTTTAATAGAACGTGTCTTCTTTTAGATCAGTCGACTTAGTGGGGCTGCTGTGTCAACTCGGGGACGGTTCATGACGACTGAGGAGAAGGCCAAAGTGGGACCTGGGTTTGTATCCTATGGTTTGAGGGTGGACAGCAAGAAAATTTGAGAGTAGATTTCTGAAACGGGCTTTTTTGTTTTGTTTGAATGGGTTTGGTAAGAGTCTCATACTTAGCCTGGCTTTGATGGCCATGAACTTCAGGTACTCCAGCCTCTACTTCACATTACAAGTATGTATGGTATACCCAGTTTATCCAGTGCTAGGGACTGAACCTTTGCTAGGGCCACAAGCGTGTTGTTAGGCCAGTGCTTTACCAGCTGAGTTCCATTCCTGCTTCTTCAGTCTTAACTGACAGCTCCTTTTAAGTCTTGTAAAAGTTTTTGACCAGTTAAGAATCAACCTTTTTGGTTTTTGTTTGTTTTCGAGAGAGTGTTTCTCTTTGTAGCCTTAGCTGTCTTGAAAATTCCCCTGTAGACCAGGCTGTCCTCGAACTCAGAGATCTTCCTTATGTCTGCCTTACATCTCCTGGGATTAAAGGTGTACGACCACCACATAGCTCAGAAAGCAGCCTTTTTGTGTGTTCCTGTGTGCTAAAGGCAGGTTCTCTGTGGGCCCCTCGGACTCATTAAGTAGGTCAAGCTGGCTGAGCAGTGAGCCCAGGGAATTCTCCTTTCTCCACTTCTCTAGTGTTAGGATTACATACTTGGCTTTTTAAAAATGAGTTTTAGGGAATCAAATTCAGGTCATTTCTTTTACCAACTAACCTCCCTAGCTCTGGGATCAATCTTTCGTATTTCTTTTTACAGAGATCGTCCATTGTATCTTCATGTTCAGGGACAGACACGGGAGTTAGTAGACAGTAAGTAATTTTTGGCTTCAGTGACTTCTTGCAAAGTACGAAACTGACAACATCACTTACTGTCCTTGATTAACTGCTGTTTATGAACTTTATATAGAGATGGGAGATGCATATTTATGAGATTTGAATTGAGGTTTATAAATGGTGCATTGGAGATTACTCAACTCATTCTTTGGTTTATTTATCGTGGTGCTAGATCTAAAACCTAGGGCCTCATGAATGCAATGTCACTAACTACTCTGTCGACAGAGCTGTATCTCCAGCTCCCTTGTGTGGTCTCTTACTATCTGTCATTTTTCTC